TGTTAGCCCCCTTTTACCCTGTTCTTCAGTGGTCAGGACCCCCATGGACCCTCACAGAGCAGGTACTATTTGGGTGGTGGATCGTTCTCAGCACTGCAGTAACACTGACGATGGGTGGTGGTGTGTTAGTGTGTGTTGTGCTGGTATGAGTGGATCAGACACAGCAGTGCTGCTGGAGTTTTTAAACACTGTGTCCACTCACTGTCCACTCTATTAGACACTCCTACCTTGTCAGTCCACCTTGTAGATGTAAAGTCAGAGACAATAGCTCATCTGCTGCTGCACAGTTTGTGTTGGTCATCCTCCAGACCTTCATCAGTGGTCACAGGACGCTGTTGGCTGGATATTTTTGGTTGGTGGACTATTCTCAGTCCAGCAGTGACACTGAGGTGTTTAAAAACTCCAGCAGCACTGCTGTGTCTGATCCACTCAGACCAGCACAACACACTAACACACCACCAGAACGTACCTGCTCTGTGAGGGTCCATGGGGGTCCTGACCACTGAAGAACAGGGTAAAAGGGGGCTAACAAAGTATGCAGAGAAACAGATGGACTACAGTCTGTAATTGTGCACCTACAAAGTGCACCTATATAGTAAGTGGAGCTGATAAAGTGGACAATGAGTGTAGAAACAAGGAGGTGGTCATAATGTCATGCCTGATCCGGGGTATGCATTTAAAAGACAAGTGTGACCCTGTTGGTGTTTGTGTGTGTTCGGATGTAGCCGTTCTGATCCCAAGGTAGAAGAGCACACATTGGGATTAGAGGCACAAGCACTAAACCGAAGCCCAAACCCGACTCATACCCACGACTTTGAGACGAGGCGAGACCCGACCTGACTGGTACTGCTTAATTTGAAACCTGAACTCGACCCGAACCTGCTCGCATACAGTAACAGGCCTGAAACCCAATATTTTGTCTGCTAGCCGGGTCGGGTAACAGACCACCATCGCGATTGGACCTCTGTGTGTGTGTGTAAATGCACAGCTACTGTAACAGTAACTATTACAGTCCAGAGAGGCCATGAGGTACTTATAATTTTCTGGATTGTTATTTTGAGATAACGAGTTATCTTGTTATTGCAAAATAACAAAATTATCTCGAGATAACAAAAGTTATATTGAGATAACGAGTTAATTGTCGTCATCTCAAAATAGCGAAGTTGTTATCTTGAGACAGTCATTAAACTTATTTCAAGATGTTATCTTGAAATGTTACTTATCTCAAGATAACAAGTTATCTTAAGATAACGAATTCACTGTCTTGTGATAATTTATATATTTCAAGATAAAATTATCTTGAAATAATGAGTTACTTATCTTGTTATCTCAAGATAACAATCCAGAAAATGATGGCAACAGCTCATGGCCTCTCCAGACTTCTGTAACACTATGACAGTGTTTCTAATACATCTGCTTCTCATTTGTTAGTCAGGTCTCTAACAGTAGCCATTGGTTATCACTGGTTAATCGAAATACTTCTGTCCAGTGACCATTTCTTTTTTTATCTGTTTTCACTTTTGCATATTAATTGTCAAACCTTTTTTCATTCATTATGCTCATGTGTCGTTTTGCTACCTGGTGTCAACCAGAGGATGGGCTCCCCTTCTGAGTCTTGGTTCCTCTCAAAGGTTCTTCCTCTTGTTTTCTGTAAAGCTGCTTAGCACTGTATAAATAAATCTATAGAAATAAATGAATCAAACTGAATCGAATACACAGTCTAATGTCACATGACTCACCTGCAACCTTCAACATGGTTCCAGGCTTTCTCGTCAAACATATTTTTAGATGTATATTCAAATTAAATTGTTCTTTGCATGGTGAAGTGGTTCTTCAGATTGACCGAGAATGTGCTGCACATGGTTCTACATTGCAAGGGTTCTTCTACTGTTACGATGTCAAGCTTATAACACAAACCAATAGCAGAACCTTTTTTGTGCTACATAGAAACAAACATTCTTCAATCTGAAGTACCATTTCAAAGGACCCTTTAAACATGAAGTGGATCTATATAGATCTCATAGTTCTACATATAACCATTCCATTTACTACAGACACCTTAAAGAACCAACTTTTTTTTGTAGGCTTACAAATATGAAATTTGAACTCATCTGCCAGTCGTGAAGGACGACTGATTCAACCGTGGCCATTAAGCAAAACATCCAATATGCAATATCCAATATCTGGAATCAGAGGCTACGTTAGAAAAGGGTGAGTGTGAACGTGCCTTGTGCTGACTGATGATCCAACCAGCATGATCGGATTACAGGGATCGGACGTTAATGCGAAGTGTAAACAGGGCCTTTGTTGTATTTTCACTCACAAAGAACTGGAGTCGAAATACTCAGAACAGACAGATAGAAAACAACACTCAAGATACAGCAAAATATAGATTCACAAAACTGATTGGATTGTTATGACTGACTCTACTGAAATTAATATTACTGTACAAATTACAATATTATTTTCATTCTCTCAACCATAATGAAGAGACGAGACGAAACGTTGATGGTATCACCATTCTTTAATTGTACATTAAAACATTTTTCATGAACCTCTAGCAGCGAGAGCACACCAGAGTGCATTTACACAACGATGGGTGCAAAGCGTCCGTCGTCCAAAAGCACAATCATCATATTCATCACCGTTATAATCATTATAATACGCATAGTAAACTCTTAACTATATATCTTAAGCTTCCCACCACCCGATGAAAAGGACTGAGTGCCTCAGATGAACGTGAGCAGTCTTACGTGATGCAGACTCTGCAGAGGTCCCTGTTACACATGTGCAGGTGCGCACATCCCACAATGCTGCCTTAAACTTGAAACATCAATACAACAGACAGCACACACAGTAAAATATAACCCAAGAGGCGTAGAGAGGTACGGGTTTAATACATGGAATGAAGGACTGAATAAAAACAGGAATGACAAAGTCTGTCCTGTATTAGCCCAGTTTCTCAGAAGCAGTGCAGTGTTAAAGGAGTGTTCCACAGAAGAGCTTCAGGTCCTCTGCGGCTGGACAAAACCAGCTAATGGTAAATGAATTAAAAGTCAGAGGAGTTGATGACTTTGGAGCACAGAATTAAACACTTCCGTTTGGGGGGACTCCCAGCTAGCTCAACCATCTAAGGCACTACTGATTTAAGAGCACAGCCGGGTTTCTACCGGGATCCAACTTGGAAAGGCTTGAAATGACACAGAAAAAAATGCTAGAGCTTTAACTTCAGGTTAGCATTCTTTTCCAACTGCTCTACACTGCAGGAAAAAGCTTGAAATGATGTTGCTACGCCCTCACAGGGAGCTACCAAACAACAGAGATCCTTGCAAGAGTGTGAACTGGCTATGACTGAACATTAGAAAACAACCGGAACAAAACTGATGAACAATAAAGGTGTGAAAAATAAGGAAATTCACATTTAAAATCAGCTCATGAATACATAACTCATGCCGGTTTACTGAGTTTTACACACACATGTTCAATGAATTTTCAGGTTATGTTCTAAGCATTCACCATCCAAAGCCATTAGTAGTCATATGACCACTAATTCATAATGAACACTTTTGTCCAAGGTACAGATGCTGTCCCATGGTCTCCTGTCAGTTGAACAACCCTGCATTTTGCTATGCGACAGGGCAGAGAGATATTACAACAGAAACTGGCTATTGCTGATGTGGGAGGAAGATCCCAAATACAAAGAAACTGCAAAAGCTCCCTGAAGTATTAGAACAGAGAGGCTGTGTTTTATAATTGGACCTTAGAGAATGTCAGTATACCAAATGTTTACACTGCAGTAGTGGCAACGTTCCTTCATGGGCAACTAAGGAACATTAAAGTGCATTCAGAAACAGGTATAGTGTTCTTGAGCATTTTGTGCTGTACTATCATGTAAGACTTTAGTGGCAAAATCCCTAATCTTTAGGCATTTTCTCTCACCAAATACACCACAAGAGAACAAAAGAAACCATTTGGAGTTAACTATTTACATAGGGGGTCAATTCAGGAAAAAGTATTTGGCCCATTAATTTTTTTGTTGCCACCGTTATTATACACAATAAAATGGAACGGAATGACTTTGCAGACTTTGGTAATTGCAAAATCAGGCAGCCGCCTTACACAGTTTCTGCCTCATTAGATGTGTTGGAGTTGACAGATGGCCTGATGTGATAATCCTGCGCTCTCTTTAACACACTGACCATCCTAATGAGACGTCCCAGGGAAAAGCAGAGGGGATCTAAGGAGAGCAGGACGGTAGCGAAAACAGGCTGGATAAATAAAAAAAAAAATGTAACATGCTGAGGGCCGAGGAGAGTGTGGGGTCACAACCACTGACAAAGGACGATGTGTAGTGATCACCTGCAGTATGTACAATTGCACCACATTACTCTCCACGAGCAGCAGATACATGTGCGGCACACGACCCCATCTTATATTGGCCTGAATCTCAAGTTAGGATGACAAGGATGAAGGGTAAAGGGGGTCGGGGACAGACTTGTACTAAACGCAATGTACTCTTCAGACGCACCCACACACAACTTTTGCTGGACGACTGCAAAGTCTCATGGGCAGACTGGTGTTGCGGACAAGGAAGAATCCACGTGTCGTTTTTACCACAGAACAAAGCAAGAGGGAGTAAAAGTCACCAAGAGAACATTCAGATCTCATCAGTCACCAGCAAAGCACAAGATATAACTTGTGCAAAATAATAATAATAATATTTAAGGAAAAAAGGTAGTGTAGCAGTACAGTACTGGACATTCCACAAACACGCCAAAGCCAATTGCACAATAAGTAAAAGGCGACACATCTTCACATCTCTGGCTGCAGAACAGAGGAGCTCTCTCCCCAGGCAGAAGGAGGGGTGGGGGAGTGCTTGGCCTCTGGAGGCTGCGAGGATATGAGTTGGAGCATTGTGTATGAGCAGCTGGGAGACCCTGGGAGAGCGAGAGGGCTACGGCAGGATTACAAATGACCAGCAACACTGAATGTACAAAAGCCCACAGAGGTCCCCTCCTCAGAAGTGTGCAAGAATTTCCATTAATATTTCCTACGTAAGTCCTCGCTACAGTGGTTCAAGAGGCCTTGGTGCCAACAAGCACGTCTGGGAGGCTGACCGTTTCATCCATCACCACAACCATCCACAACTGCAAGTGCCTTAAAGCAAACTGAAAGAAATTAACTTTATACACCCTGGGCTTTTTTGCCTTTTCTTCAAAAAGAGAGAAAGAAAAGAAAGGAAAAAAAATCTATTGTTCTTTAGAAGCTTGAATCAGATCCTCAGCCTGGTTCAGCTGGCTGGCTCAGTAGGATTCCTATAGACGCACGGTATTGATCCGCAAGGGCTGCACGTTCTTTCCGTTGGCGTGGCTCTGGCCAGGGCTGAAGTAAGGGAAAAGCTTGCCAGGGAACTTCTCTCGGTAGGTGTAGAGCCAGGACATATCGTCAGCATTGTAGAAGACCAGCAGGCCTTTGGGGTAGTCCAGACAGACGCCCACTTTCTCCAGCTTGCTTTTGACGTTGAGGCGTGTCCAAGGCTCGGTGCAGGCGCTGTACTGGTTCCCATCGTGCATGACGATGCAGTAGAAGCCGCGGCTGGGCTGGATCTGGATGCTGCCCTTGCGGTTGACTGTCTCGTTGGCCACGCCGATCATCCACTGAGTCTTCTCAGAGACCATCACCTCCCAGTAGTGGACACCCGAGCAGAAACCTTCGGCTCCCAACACAGACACTTCCACGTCGAATCGACGGGGCGAGTCCTGGAGTGGCTGTGGATGCAGGTTCCCATACGCCACTATGGTGCAGTCATCGGACAGTATAAGCCTCTGGTGGGCGGTCAGGGGGTCCAGCGTCAAGGCAGCAGGCACTGTGGGAGTCGCAAAGAAAACAGCGCCATTAATATCTGTGTTTCCAAAAACTCCTGCAACTCATCCACCTGCTATTCTCAGTGTGCCATCAGACATTGATCTACTACATGGTTTAAACCTGGAAAAATACAGGGCATTTAATGGGAGGAGCAGAAAACAGCTCTTTGTTTGGCATCCTGCTGCGTGCCTTACTTTCAAAACAGCAGCTTCAGCCACAGGCACCCAGGAGGAGAGCTCCTTGCTGTCAATCAGATGTGCTGATACAGCTCCACAACCCGCCTCCGAGCAGAAACAACATTACTCACTGCATACACCTCCACTGCAGTGTTCATGACTGTCATAGAGTGATAATTACTTTCATCTGACAAACTCAAACTCCCTCTCATTTCATCTTTGGTTTCCTTTCAAATTCCAAGCATTCACCAGCAGGGAGAGGGCTACTTTGTATGCTTGTCAGTTTCTCCATAACAATGCCCATTGGTATTGTGGTGGCTGGGGAACATAGTGTGCAGGGAATTTTAAAAATCTTGCCCTTAAGGTGGAGATGAGCTTTCTTAAGCATGGCTTATGCATGCAAATAACCATTATAGGGCCACTGACTGCATGTTAAATCAGGCAGTCAGTGGCCCCTTGAAAAAGACTGATAACACGATTCTTTCAGAGAACCACGTTTGATGTGTACAACAGCCAAAACAGGGCTAAATGTAGAACATTCTCGAAGTCTGTGGAATTGTGCTGTAGTATTGCTGGCTGAAGAACATTAAATAAAAACCACATCCCTCAGGCATCACCTGCCTGGCAATGTCCAGAAGAGAATGCAGTGCTGCCTGTTCAGCCCAAACAGCCTGCAAAGTGCCAGTGAACGAAATTGTCCAAGCAGGGAGCCAGAGCCAGACCAAAAACCGAACAGAGACATTGTCCAGAGCAAGGCAGAAGGAATCCTCCTGCAGCAAGCCCTGGAGAGCATGACTGCGCTGTGCTGGAGTAAACAGACAGGGGCTACACTGTAGCCCAGTCCAAGTAGGCGTAGATTTTGGAAAACAGGCTTCGGTTTATCGTGGTGGTGGGTATTGAAATTCCATACTTTTATGGTTAACAAACAACCTGCCTCGAGATTATTGGGTAATGGAAAAATTGAGTCATTAATCGAGTAATTCAACACCAAATTTCTGAACATCTGTAGTCGATCTTAACAGCGGCAGCAAGACGTAAAGCATGACAGGTCCAAAATCTAAGCCAGTGATTGGCTAAGTTACATGTCATAAAAACACAGGAAAACACTTACATTTAGAGCCATGGTTCATGTGTGTTTAATTTCAAAAACATGGCAAAAGGTCTAGGATCTGGATTAATTTAATCAGAATTGATATCAATAACATGCACTGTAATATAAGTGCAAAGGGAATTGCTTCAGATTGGCTACACCAAGAATTTATTTAAGCATTAAACTTATAATTAGTACTGCACTGTACACTGAATTAACTATTTACAGCAGAAAGCTGCACATTATTTCACTGCAGTCAGCTGAACCCTAGTATTGAAAAACATATTCAGCAATTGGTATCTGAGTCAAAACCTTTAACAATACTAAAGACCCACCGAAATCACTGAAAACGGCCAAAATAACACTCTCAGTTCTCAACTGAAAGAGATAAAAGGCTGAAAATTTTGAATGGCAAGATTAAACAGATCAAAATATTGATTAAACATTTATTAAAAATGCTGCTGTTTTCCTTCAGCCGCCTGTGCTGGTCCTCACAGACATGTTTCAACACTTTGAGCAGCAGCAGATCAACACAGAAGATGTTGGCCATGTGGAACTATTTCAGGGTTTCTACAAGTGACTAGGACAAGCAATTTGTAATCACTGTTCATTCTGAGTATCAAAAGGTAGAAGAATGACGGCATTAATTCCAAACATCACATCACCCATCATCTGTTGTCGAGGATGTTTTAATCTGTGGTGCACACTGATGGCAACATAGTGTACTAATTCTGGTAAGCTTATTGTATGTAAACTATATTTTCAGTTTCAGCCAGAAATTCTCATTTCAGTCCATCACTATTAAGCCCTAGAGGATCATGCTAAATTTAATACCTCTGAATGTAAAACCACATTGTAGTGCACCATATCCAAGATTATTTCAGAAAACCTTTGTTAATACATGGATTAATGGAAGCCCTTTGCATGCTAAAAACTCCCCCTATGAATTACCTTCGAAAGGTAATTCGGGAAAGACCCAGCGAGGTTGACTTTAAGGTGGAAATATGAGGCAACACTTACAGTGTGCGAGTCATATCTTCTGAACACCTTTTTGTGAGCACAAAACGAAAGCTAAGCTCTCCTAGTCCAATATTCGACATTTTGCTGATGTGCGGCAATCATGGAATAATTCAGAGCAAAACAATGCTGGCTTGTTTTCCTTGGGCCTCATGGATAGGCATGCCTGTCAGAGGTGGAGAGGGAAATTTGCGAAACATTTCCATCCTCCCTATTTATAACCACTGCCACAAGCAGCTGAGACTGGAGCTGGTCCAGAGGATAGGATGTTGTCGTTTCCACTCAATGACATTGGCGGTTTGTGCGTCAGGTAGCCCATAAATATTTTAGTCTCTCTCTCTCTCTCTCTCTCTGAAACACATACAGAAACCAAGCTCCAGCGACAGCCTGCAGGCCAGAGTGCTGCACAAATCACAAAAAGGTTGAAGGCTATAAAAAAATGGAGAGAAAGAAAGAAAGAAAAGGGCTAATAATCCCAAAAATCCATCCCGGTGTGGGAGGATGGGAGCTGCACTGTCATTACAGAGGTTTGGGGAGATGGATGTGAGCCGATTGTTCCATTTGGCACACAGTCTAGGAAGGCTACGCAACTCTCCCTGCTTATTTCAGTGAGCACAGATGATGTTAAATTGAAGAACTGATTGAATGTGAGACTTTCTCAGCTCCCTAGTTTTAAATAACATTTTGTTATCATGCGGAGAGCAGATAGAAGAGCTCATCAGAAATCTTCTGATGATGAAATAGTTAAGATAGTTAGCATTTAATGGAAACTACTGTAATAAGATTTAGTTCCAGGTAATTTTGGATCACTTCTATTGGACCATTTGTCACCAAGGTTAACACTGTAATGTAAAGTGTAATGTAAAGGAACACTGGCATTTTCAAGTGATGTAAAAGAAATCAATTTAAATAAATAAATAAATAAATAAATAAATGACAAGAAGGAGCATAAAAGATTTTCGCCATACAGTATTCTGTCCATACTGTGAAGCTCTAACTAAAATGTTAAACAACTACTTTAATTCTCTATAAATCGCACTCTTATCATTGACAGCAAGACAACTAGCTTGGGGATATTTACCATTTGCAAATAGATTATTTGGGTACGTTTTTGTTTTTCACACATCATAATATTCATACAAAAACATAAATATTGCAATGTTTGTATTTCACAATATTATATTCCATCCTATTATATTATACGATATTCCTTGAAATACATTAAACACATTGGTGAACTGCTGATGTGATGTGGTTAACGAGTGGCCTACATTAGTTTTGACCAAAATTATATACATTTGTTGTATCATGTAAATGCCTTAATTCATCCAAAAGCCCAAAGAATGTCCTTGGTTTCTCAGCACAAATTAAAATGCTTTGCATATTGCAGACTTCTACAATTACAAAGTAGGCTAATATAATAACAATTAGCTAACAATACCCTATTGCTCACACCAAGGGCCAAACGATACACATTAGCTCATTATCTAATAAACAAATATGGAGGTTCTGCATGCATTTAACCTCATAATCCTGCATTGGACTAGGATCAAGAAAGTTATCAGTAGCACAGCGGAAGCAAACAGAATCTTAATTCTAAATAGGCACTGTTGTTGAGCTGCAGTGAATGATTGATTTAGTAATTCGTCAGAAGTGCTGATATGAAGCCCTGTCGTTTAAGACCTGCTTATTTAGAAGTAATGCCAAAATGGAGTTCTACATAAGTATAATAGAAAAATACAGGCTTTAAAGAAATGTGGAAAAACAAGTTATGCAATTCAATTGTTATGATCTTAAAAAAGGACGTGGGTGATGTTTTTCTTTATTAGAAATATCACCATATACAAAACAACAGTATATTCACATGCATGGGAATGTTCTTCTCTCATTTGCATATCAATTAGGACCACAATATCATGATGGCTGATGAAAAAACATGACATTTTATATAATTAATCTTGGTCCAAACCTACATTTAGCATTTAAATCAAGCTTGTGAAAGACAGGGAGGCAAATCCTGTAATGCGTATGTCCTGGCTTTTATGTCTACAGAAACTAGCTGCCTAAATGTCTTCAGATCACTAAATGGAAAGGAGACACATTACCTGGTGAGATATCCTGGAACAGAGACTTCCATATTGTGTACTGTAATGGTCCCATGTATTTGGATGTTGGGAAATCTTCATAAGTAAGGTTGGTTTCGTGTATTTTGCCTTTTATTCTGCAGAAACAAAAGAAAATATTTGTTCTGTCAAGTCCACTATTTCTCCTTGTGCAACAGAACAGACAAAAATCTTCAACGCCAAACAATCCCGTATTGCTGAAAAAGTCTGGCCCCCCTCCAAAGTCAGATTCAAATTCACACAAGGGTGTTAGGTCAGTCCGGGTGCTGCAGATGACTCTCATTAATTAAGCCCTACACATTAATCACGCTATTCACTCGCCCTTATGGTCTCGCTACTCCTCGTCCGCCTTACTCAAATGAAAAAAGGGTTTCTGTGGGTGAAGCTTAACAGCTTTAGCTGAAGTCCAAATATTTACCCTGATTTAAACTTAGATAGCCCGTCTAGCCCCAGCTAGGCCTTGTCCCAACAGGTCCAAAAGCCCTCATCCTCATCACATACTGCAACATGATACATTTTAATTTTAAATATCCTGACTTGCCTTGGCAGCTTCCACCAGCAAAACCCTCCACGAATCACTTGCTCTCTGACCAGCATTTACAAGAGAAGGAGACAAGGCGTTATGGACCAAAAAGCCACTGCATCTTGGACCACTATTTCATAACCCTCCCCCCGAGCTCATATCCTGTGGAACCCCTTTCCCACTGTCCTCGTCCCTACCTCTCGGACGTGAACGCCACTCCCTCCAGGAACTCGTGACGGCCGGTCTCGCTGAGTTTATCCTGCAGTATCTGGATGCCCTCTTTGACGTCGCGGAGCTGCTGGCTGTAGCGCTGGATCTTGTGCTCGATGTCAGACAGTGTGCGAGCTGTGTCCGCCTCCAGCTCCTCCAGCATGCTCTTCTGCCTTTCACGCAGGAAGCGGTGCAGCCGCTCAAACGCATCGCCTATAGTGGCTCGCAAGCTCTTTGCTGAAGACTACAAAGAGATTAAGAGAGAAAAGTTAATGAAGTATACTGTGAATTGAGTAGTGATGAATCTGTCTGGTCATCGTGACAATTTAGCCACTCAGTGACTGAACTGGGCCACAAGGTAAAGAACTATCATTTGATTAGTTTTAAATTGGAGGTGTGCCTGAGATAAAGGCAATATAATCAAGATCATTAAATATGGATTCAGCCAACTGTAGGAAAACTTCAAACAACTTGGTGTCATAATCTTCTGCATAAAAAAGCATTATCCTAGACTCTCTTGGGTATGATAGGAAGCGTTATTAATGGGTACTGGGCTTTCAGGCCATAGGACAGCACAGATAACTGGGGAGCTAGAGCCCAAAGGCAGAACTGTTGACAGAGATTCCATCTAATGGCCACAGAGCGATTGCCATCAAGCTGGTCATCTCTCTTCTGCTGAGGTTAATCAAGGACAGGATGGGTGTGTAGGCGATTACACGATGGGCTGACAGGCAGAGGGAAACTATTTTTGCTATTGAACAGTGCATTTTCAAACAAGCACAGATAATTCAGTTTATTTACAGACTTATCTTCACATAATGGGTATATGTGTTTTAGTACACGACTTGTTGATCTACAGGAAGATAACTAACTTCCATATATAGGTCAACTGACATCTGGCCATCTCATATGACATGAGATGCAATATGAGTTGCATTCTATGCAGTTCGTAGTCACTCAGTCAAAAATTCATTTAAAAATGACAATAGAATACACTATTTAATTTATTCCATTATTTCATTTTCGCCTTGTTTGAATATATAATGCATTAAATGCTAACTAAGATGAGTTTGGACATCAGTATATTTAAATAACCCTGCTCATCCGTAATAGGCAGACGTTAGACATCAAAGCCTCTGTTGCTCTGTGAAGAAGGTGAGGGAAAACAGCTGCAAAGCTGCAAAGACAGAACGACAGAGTTTTGGGAAAGAGGAGGTGAAGGGCAGACATCTGAAACATCTTCTGAGAAAATGAATCATGTTCATTACAGCATCAAGTACATCATAAGACAGAACAAAGGCAAGAGATCTGAGACGTCTGGCCTGAAGTACCACGGGCTAAAACGGGCCATTCAGCCAGGCCCATCCATACAAAAGAGGAGTCCTCTGAGAAGCGGCTGATGCAATATTTCAAGTGCTGCATTCGGCTTCTTAGAGACATCTATCGACATCACAGAGAATGAAGCGAGAGAGTATGCTGTCCCTCATCAGGGAAAATGAAAAGAAGAGCACATGCACTTAACTGAGTGCAAAGTTGCATCTACCGTTAATCGATCTGCCTCCCAAAAACAAAAATGACTGCTCCTCTTCTTCCTCAAAGCTGCTAACGTTCAAAGGGAAACGCTATTTCCTGGTCACTGGGAAGCTGAAATCCTATTAAGATCATTTATCTTCACAACAGGGGGGAGGATTTGCATTATTTCTGTGGAAAGGATTGGCCCACCTGGTGACGTTTGATGGACGAGTGGGGCTAAGTGACTCTCAAGTGATGTCGGCCACTCAAGTTTGAGCTCCCCAAGAGGCAACTCTGCTGGAGACGGGCTATTTAAAGTCCACTTGGCCCATAGAAGCTAGGCTTTCCATCAGACTACTCCCCACAGCATGTGCTAATCAAGCCCAAAAAAATACATATATACAGGCATTTGGACAGTCGGACACCTTCCAAAGAGCGTCTGATCTGAGCAGTAAAACTTTAACAGTGTCAAACAGGTTAATTTGACATTGTAAAGGGTGGGATAACCGTATGGATATCCATCCTGCTCAAATATCTGACAGTCAGCTAATCTGATCTTCATAAGTTTAGTGCTAACAAGTCTCTTTAGGACCAGTTTAATGCCCAAGTGATAGCCTTTCAAGAGTCTACTTTCTTATCTGCACTAGTAACTCAGGAGTGCTAAAGAGACAGGGTGTCAATATTTCTGCAAGTCACTGTCAAGAGCTTGATTCTTCAGAGTGGTCTGATAGCATTTCTGTGAAAAAAGCTGGAGAAGACGCAGGTGATTGATATGATTGATTGATCTTTACAGAAATAACTGAATCTCCATTCCAAGAAAAAGCCATGATTATATCAAGTCCCACTGACCACTTTGAGACAAGACCAATCAGAACAGTCAGATCCACATCTGATGAGATGATTCGGCACCAGTCATTTAATCAATGCATGCTGTGACAGAACGATAAGCGAAAAAAAAAGCAGACAGGCCCAATGAGGTAAAGCTCTAGACTGTGTACTGGGTTATACTGCAGAGCATGATTGGATATCAATATAACCAGTGAGGCAGAGGACAGTGGCGTTTTAACTGTGGGCTGGAAAAGGCTCTCCCAATGACAATTGAGGCAGACTGCGGGTGCAGGTTAAAAAAAACACAGGAGGAGGAGAAAAGGCGGCTGTATTGACTGTGGCGTTTCTCTGCTGATTAAAACAAGATGTCAAGATTAAATAGTTATTCAATAAACCAATTTGCAATCTCTCCCTGCAGAGAGACAGAGCTAGAGTGAGGGGGAAAGAGAGAGAGAGATGAAGTCCAAGACACCTACTAGAGTGAAAAAAAGCAAAAGACAGCAAGTGTAAAAACGCAAGAGATAGGTTATGAATGTGTAATGGCTACAGTGAGCAGACTAACGCTATTGGTCAGGTGCCGCTTTGGGGATTCTATTTTGATTCTAACACACCCTCTAATGTCCAACTGGCTGCAGATTGTAGGTAAGGTTCTCTTGTTAACTATCTATTGCCCAGTCATCTACTTTTTTGCTGTATATCTTCTTACATATTGCTGATGTGAAAACTTGCTCTTTATATTATGTGAAATTTTCAGGACGAATGGACCAACATAAATGACAACACCTATAAATAAAATGCCTTAGTTGGTTTATGCTAAGTAGAATATCCAGTGAACTGTATGGTCTTGCTGCAGGATTATGTGGGGCAAATGCATTGATCAGTATGATTAGTTTAGACAGCTTTTGTATAGTAAATATTAATGTTAGTGATGTATCTGCTCAAACGCTTCTCACATCAAACTGTACAGCACAAAGGATATTTTGGTTTTCCCGGGCACAAGATTGGCAGCAAGGTCACTGAGTGACATCACGAGGCACTGAGTTTGTCAGAGATTGGTGCTCAATTTTTGTACTGTGAGCACGGCTAAGCATGAGGCCTGACATCAAGAGCGCTGTCTATCGCGTGGCTCAAGGCGATTAGTTTGTCACCGAGATTGGCATTTACCACACAGCTCAAGACGATGAGTTCGTCATCAAGAACGTCATTCAGCTCGTGACTCAACGCTTTTAGTCTGTCATCAAGAACAGTGCTCACCGTGCGGCCCAAGGCAATCGGTTCGTCACCGAGATCACTGTTTAGCACACGGCCTGAAGCGATTAGTTTGTCATCAAGACAATAACTTTATCTTTGTCACCGAGATCGCTGTTTTGCACACGGCCCAAGGAGCTCAGCTCATCACTGAGATCTCAGCTTAGCGCGAGTCGCTAGGCACTCAGTTGGTCCTTGAGATCGCCACTCAGAGCATGGCCTGAAGCGGTCAGTTCCTCACAGAGATCGCCGATCAGAGCATGGCCTGAAGCATTCAGTTCATCACAGAGATCGCCGCTCAGAGCATGGCCTGAAGCGGTCAGTTCATCACAGAGATCGCCACTCAGAGCATGGCCTGAAGCGGTCAGTTCCTCACAGAGATCGCCGCTCAGAGCATGGCCTGAAGCGGTCAGTTCATCACAGAGATCGCCGCTCAGAGCATGGCCTGAAGCGGTCAGTTCATCACAGAGATCGCCGCTCAGAGCATGGCCTGAAGCGGTCAGTTCATCACAGAGATCGCCGCTCAGAACATGGCCTGAAGCGGTCAGTTCATCACAGAGATCGCCGCTCAGAGCATGGCCTGAAGCGGTCAGTTCATCGCAGAGAGCGCTGCTCAGAACATGGCCTGAAGCGGTCAGTTCATCGCAGAGATCGCCGCTCAGAACATGGCCTAAAGCGGTCAGTTCATCGCAGAGATCGCCGCTCAGAGCATGGCCTGAAGCGGTCAGTTCATCGCAGAGATCGCCGCTCAGAACATGGCCTAAAGCGGTCAGTTCATCGCAGAGAGCGCTGCTCAGAACATGGCCTAAAGCGGTCAGTTCATCAGAGATCGCCGCTCAGAGCATGGCCTGAAGCGGTCAGTTCATCGCAGAGAGCGCTGCTCAGAACATGGCCTGAAGCGGTCAGTTCATCGCAGAGAGCGCTGCTCAGAACATGGCCTGAAGCGGTCAGTTCATCGCAGAGATCGCCGCTCAGAACATGGCCTAAAGCGGTCAGTTCATCGCAGAGATCGCCGCTCAGAGCATGGCCATAGGCACCCAGTTTGTCGTAGAGATCACCACTCAGTGTATAGCCCGAGGCACTCGATCGTCACAGAGATCACCGCTCAGCATGTGGCCAAGAATTCACAGCTAAAGAATTGTAATAGTTCTTCGTTCTTTCATGATTTGGCTGTTTTGCGCAAGGCACTCTTGCCCACTTTAACCAGGCTTGTGTTTCATCAGATTTGGAACAAGGTAACAAGCAATGAGTCAACCACATTGTGATTATCATCTACATCTACTGGAAAACAGTGAGGCAATTCGAAAACAAATTTTTGGGCATGCCTTTGTCGCTGGATGATCTACTTTCTGACAGAACCTGTAAGGCTGATATCTTTCATCAACAGTTTACAAAGTCTGGGCATGTTTCGAAATCTCCTCACAGTGAAGAACAGTATCCTCCAACCTCTAGTTCATCTGTAGCCCCTTGACCTGTTTCTGTTTCTCGCTGTCATGCTACCTTACATTTTCCTTTCAAACCTTTTTAGACCGTGAAGTTTTAAAAGAAATTGCTTTTATTGGACTTCAAAAAGTCAGCTGACTCAGATAAGCTAGCACTCTTTTCATTCTTTTTTTTTTAAATTGCAGCTCCCATAACAGAAGTAATTTATCTATCCATACTGCTGAATGGCCAGCTGACTAGAAAGCAGCTATTGTTCGTCCTCTTTTTAAAGGTGACCAGGCTGACGTGTTAGGCCTATATTTACTTCACCATGTTTATCCCCAGTTTAAAGACACTTGTTAGTAAGTAGTTAACTCTATTTCTTGCTGTGCACAGTTAGATCTGGGAAACAGTCTAAGTTATGGCTGAACCTGCTACTTTGAAAGTTTTTAATGAGATTTTATCTACACTAGATGCCAAACAACATTGTGCAGCTATATTTATTGAATTCGCTAAAGCTTTTGACTGCTGATCTTTCCATTTTACTGAACAGACCAGATAGTATTGGGGTTTTGAGTCACTCCTTGTCCTGTTTTTAACAGCTCTCTCATAGAGTACAGCATGTAAAGCTAGTTCATTATCTTGCTCACACTCTTCCTGCTCCTAACAGTGTCCCCCGGGGGGTCCCACTTTAGGGGTTCTCTATATTTATAAATGACATTCCATTTGCTGCTGTTAAGTCCTCTATTCATTGATGACGCAATCTTGTATGCCACCAGTCCTGCTCCTGAATTGGTATCAATATCACCTCAGGATAGACTCCTCCAAATTCAACAGGCTATTAGCAACCTTTGAGATCACCACTAGTGAGGGATTTGTCTTGGAAAAGGATTATACAAACACTGAGGTATCTGAGGTATCTGGTTACCTAGTACCTAGTCCTTTTCTCATCATATTGCTAATGGTTCTGAGGTTCTGAGGTAAAGCGCGTCTCCAGCTTCAAGTTCCGGGGAGTACACGACTCCGAAGATCTTTCAATGGACACTCAACACCTCACACCTGGTTAAGAAGGCACAGCAGCGCCTCTACTTCCTGAGGAGACTAAAGAAAGGAACATCTTTCTTTCTCTCTCCTCAGATTCTCACAAACTTCTACTGCTGACCCATCGAAAGCGTACTGACCAACTGTGTGACAGTGTGGTACAGCAGCTCCACTGTGGCCAACAGAAAGTGGTGAGGACTGCTGAGTGCATCACTGGCACACGGCTCCCTGTACATCAGAGACATTCACCACCAGCGCAGTGTGTGCAGAGCGCGCAGCATCATCAAGGACTCCTCCCACCCAAGCCACACACTGTTTAACCTCCTCCCATCCGAGAGGAGATACAGAAGCATTCGGACCAGAACCAGCTGGCTCAGGTCCAGCTTCTTTCACTCCACCATCACCCTGCTGAACTCTGCACCACTCCACTAATACTCATACTTGTATGTTGCATACAATATTGATTATTATTTATTATCCCTTGCATTTCCATACAACAGACTGTTCACTGTATATAGAATACAACACACAACTGCTCACTCTAACAATACGTAACATACTTTATATATTGCATTTATAGTATTGTGTATATATACACACATGCATGTATCATTCATAGATATATTTATAATTCTGTATATATCGCTCATATAGTTATATATTTCATAGATACGTCATATCTATCCATCCATCCATCACTCTATCCATCTATCTATCTATCTATATCGCTAAGTTGTTGCTAAACTCAGGTTAGAATTTAGAAATTGTTCTTTTACTGCTGCAGCCAGGTTTACTCTTATTCAGGTGACTATACTCCCCTTGTTTAACTTACAGTTATCTATCTATCCATCTATTTATCCATCCATCCATCCATCACTGTATCCATCATCGGTAACTGGTCCTCTCTGCTCATGTATAATAATTGTTTGTTTATGCATCATTTATAAAACTGTCCTTGGTCAGTCACCCCCTTATCTACAACAAGTTCTGCAACCAGTCTGCTACATGTAATACTAGGTCATCACAATACCTTCAGTTGCCCTCGGCTGTTCATTATTTCAGTTTGCTGCTGCTAAGGACTGGAATACGCTACAAAAAAACATTAAACTGGACACACTCATTTCGATTTCTGAGATGTAGCAAACTTGTCTATGACCTTGTGTTGAGAAAGTTACCTTTGTTTCAGTGAGCTGCCTCTGCAGCAGCTGCAGAGCCTCCGTATGACCCCTCTCACTGTCCTGCAGAGCGGCCAGCTGCTCTTTCATCTCCCTCTGCAAAAAGAACAATACAAGAATTGTCATTTACTGTCCGTTAAAACAACCTCATTCTGGTAGTGCTTATTTGATGAAAACAGTTCTAAGAAAAAAAAAACACTTTCTACGCCCCCTCATCTCCCCTTTTAACCCACATAATTTGCCTTCTTAACCACATTCTCTAGCTTGGGTAGTCTGAGTCATCAAGTTGCAGTTCACTATAAAAAGCACCATTTCAGACTGGTTGCTTAGGGGACTTTTCACCAGATGCCAATTTCTACTTGTTCATTTTAGATTTTAATGGACTGCAAATGTCAAACAGGCAGGCAAATAGGATCGCACCAGTAAAGCTGTGACTGACCAAAAGCAAAGGTCCTGACTGCCGTCCTACTCATCTCTCTAAACCTCAGAGAGATCACCTCCCCTGCCTAAGATTCTCAACAGCAATGAAAAGGTGTGCAATGAAAACACTATTTTAATACCCACACCAACAGAATCAATCAACATAAGATCTTCTTTGCATATACATTACTGTGAGTGTGACCAAATGATTTTTAATGAGTATATAAAAAAAATTTAGCAGTGAATAAACTGGAAATCATCCAAACTAATACGACCTAACTAATGAGTAAAACTGGCTTCAAACCCAGAACAGCAACATTAAGATCTTGATAATGGCCATCTTTTAGCATAATTCAGGCCGTCGCATGGAACAACAAATTTGCTGAAGTTCATCTCAGTGCCATTTACTTCTCACAAGTCCAAGAGATCAGAAAGCACCCATGGCTAAAAGCCTTGCATGATTTATTGATTAACGAACATTAGCCCAACCCATTCTCTTCATGCATAAGGAGCACCAGGACTTGTTTTTCATAGAGACTGTGATGCGAATAAACAGAGCATGGTGACGCTTTGGTTTGAGGGGAGAAAAGGGAACCTCAGATGAATAAATAAGAAATAAAATGAGCCTCCAGACATATCCTTGCCAGGGAAAGTGGGCCTCAGCAGCAGTGGGCTTGGCAGATTCAGGACAAGCGGTCCACCTCTGTGCGCCCGCAGGCAGAATGAGGACGAGAGAGGAGACCCAGTCTGGGTCAAAGCAGCCCAGTGGAGAAAGGATCACTACACACACCACCGCGTGCCTCCCGCTAAACATCACTGTTCGGCTTACCATGACCAGTAAGCCATAAGTGCTTGTCAGTGGCTCAGTTGGCAACAGAGGAGTTATGCTGTGCATCCACTTGCACTTTTTCTTGTTACATTCCATGCATGCCACTGGTGCGAGTTTCTATGCTGTTATGAAAAATTAAAGAACCATAGTGAAAAAAAAATATCTTGGGTAGGTAAACAATCTTATGTTGTTTCCTGCTGCACAGATACTTGCAATGTGACTAAAACACAGACTTCTGCTTTTTATGCTTTTTTAACTTTCAGAATGCATCAGTCGTCCACTCAGGATGGAAAGTTAGCTCGCTATTCTCGCCAGCAAGCTACATCAGCAAGTAACCTTCAAGTTTCACATAATTTAAATTTTGCCTTCCTGCTTGAGCAATGCAAGCTACATTTAAAAACGTATTATCTCTCCACATCTTCATAGTCAACAACAATGAGTACAAAATCAAGCATTTTCATTACTTTGGACTCTGTGGCTGCCCCTCTCTCTACTTTCAGTGAAAGTTATGTTTGCCATTTGTAGCAGAGACCAGTCCACCCTAAATGCAATGCAGCAGCCACATTTATCTGCATAAAGGTGAAATCTGCTGAAACCTTTGCTATTGGTGATGCAGCAGAGCTCTCAAATGAAATGAACAGGATGTGGCAAAGCAAATTTGCAAGTGGACACATACAGTAAAATATAAGGAAGTGTTAGGAAAAATAGCACACGGACGAGGACTTGCTCAGGTCAGTCACCCCCAAAGAGGTTTACTAGACGAGACAGCATAATATGAAAGTATTTTAGGATCATCAGGATATGTACGGCACAATTTTCCAATTATACTGTAATTAATTTTTTTTACATAAGATCTTACATGTTATGCCAGACATCTATGTCTATAGACTGTGCAATAGTATTATGGTATTTATGGAAAACTGAGAAAATCTAGCTTTGCAGTGATGCAGCATCTTCTACAATACCAGCCCTTTCTGGACTATAAGGAGTTAACTAAATTGTTACACTGCAATGAGCTTCAAAACTGTAGTCACTCAGGCTAATGCAAGGTATGCATTCATACAGCTTTTCAACACTACCCTTTCAAGGACAAGGACCAGAGAGAAAACAATTCTCCATTACTCTCAGGGAACACGGTTATACATTTTAATGATGGGAGTGCAATGGGATCAGCAAGTTTCAGTTCTCCCACTGTGAATTCTGTAGGCTTGCAGGACTACGGCAGGGCGAATGGGCTGAGAACAGGTCAAAAAAAAAGCACCGGTGCTGGCTCTGCAGTGATCCTCAGGGAGCAGGACTGCCTACACACCCTTCTGGCCAGCGCCGATTTCAATTTTCAGCCTGTGTACCTAAGAACTGCAGAACAGTCAGTGAGCCAAGGAAATACCCGGTACACTTGTTTGAGTTTAAAGCAAATGGCTATTGGATCATTATACAACATGAATTTTTAAGTTCGTTTTTGTCAACAAGCTTCTTCCCCTCCTCCCCGGCGGCAAAACGAAAGCATATTCGGAGGACGCCGAGCAGTCCAAAAGCAAACATCTGCAGTGATGCCGCATGACGGAAGCTGTAAACAAGTTGTCCCTGCAATGTTATGCACACTCGCGCAGCATGAGCGTCTGTGTAAGAGGCTGTGACTGCAGAGCCGGCCGAGGCTAGAGTGGAGAGGCAGCCCACGCCCCAGTCCATCCACGCTGGTCAACCCAAGTCTGACATGACATTTCCCCAGGACGCCGCACAGCAGGGAAAGAAGGTCACTGCAGGCCATTATAAATCCAAAAACTCATTCCACCCCGGCTTCCTTTCTCTCATGCTCGCTTCAGGGAACGACTCGAGGGAAATAAAAGATTAAAAATAAAGATCAGCGCCACTCGATTGTTAAGCACGCACTTCGGACTTTCAATTTCACTACTTTCGTCAAGTTTCTGCACTCCTCATTAAAGACAACAGCTTGCTGAAGAGGAGTTCTAAGCCCTCTCACTTGCCAGCGCTGATGAAGGCAAGCGAGATAAACAAGACAGCATAAATAATGAAAAGAGTCAGGCATGCAGGATTCTCACACACACACACACACGAATGCACAGACAGACAAACAGAGAACCTGAGTGCTCAGGTATGCTGTGTGAGGAGCTGTTTGCTTTGTCATTATTGCTGCTTGTTCAATGAGCAGCAGGAAACTTATATTGGTTCTGTTTTTTTATTCTGCTGTGATGAATAATGCAGCAATGCAAAACACCTTTTCTAATTTGACCCCCTGTTTTACCAGCACCCATGATTCCACATAATGTGAAATGCTTTCACTCCCAAATAGCAATCCTTGACAACAGCAGCATAATATTGCTTGGGGGGGTGGATAAAACTCCTCAGGGCTAACCACACAACCACACTGGTCCTCATTAATAACACTCCCGGAAGGCATAGTCTTGCAAGGACACTTTGGCATAACCTTGTCAGAGTCCGTGTCATAATTCTCCAGGAGCTAAACAAGCAGCCCACAGCCCAAGTGCACTAAGGCCATCTCTGTCCTCTCTCGTTTTGACTGCTGCGTAAATCACAGCTAAAGGGGCTAGAAAACTGTCATCTGCACTCCTCCCTCATCAAAGAACCTGTAAGTCTTGCACTGACACAGAGGGGAGGATTGCTCTGAATTAAGGGGAGGGACAGCAACACATGAGTCATCTGGCCAGCAACACGCATTCTTCACCAGGACACAACACAACAAGTCTTTGCAGAAGATGCCACCAGATGTTGTTTCTGGTCCTGAGTGAAGATGTGGAAGTCAAAGATGAGCTAAAGTTGGCTCTATGAATACAGGAAACAATGTTCAGACAAGACGAAAACTGTAGAACAGCTGTGGCAGTTATTGCCTCCAAAGAGTAAAAAGACTGGAGCTCAAGATGTTTGAAATCTCCTGGCACAGTGACCACTGTCTGTTTTGTAAACATTCAGTGTTTACGATCTGGCCATGCAAGCAGTTTTTCAAAACAAGTTGGTGACACTGTGATTGCGGGGAAAAAGCTTGGATTATGTTACTGTTTACTGCTTTAGTGCTTACTGGCACTAACTCACAGTTTGGTGCAGACTACTGAGGAATATCTAAACCAAATTTGGTTCAAACCTGACTCTGTTTCTGCTTTGTCCAAAGTGTGTTGTAACATTTGGCTGCTTTTATCAAATTTCTAGCCAAACATACTCAAAGGCAGACAGCCCTTGGTCCGATTTCATAAAATCAGTGTAATCTGTTAGACTTTCTCAGGAACGGCCGTGCATTAATTAGTTTGGTAAGGTACAGCCTCCTGCGCGCTGGGAGCCCGAGTCAGCTGATTGTACTATGATAAGGCAGGGCCCAGTGAAGCAGGACAGTGCAATGGGCAGTTATGCAGGGTGACCAAAGACATATCATACTTTAACCCATATGGAATATGCTGGCAGGAAAGGCAGGGAGTTATTATTTGTTAAGAAATTTGATCCTTGCACCTTCAAAACTGCAGCCTCATAAAAGAAAGAAAGTTAATCGATTAATCTATTAATGCAAGGACATTTAATTCCAAATAATTTTGATTTTCAAAGGGTCCAATCATCAGGAAACATTCACGCAATATTAATGCCACTGGTGTTTTCAATGGTGTAAAAAAATAAAAAACTGCATTTTTTTTTCCTGCCAGCAAAGGCATGCATGTGTTTGCTGGTGTGGTCAACACATGCTAAATTTGGTGAGAGTTTCTGTCCTACATACCGGGTCTTTTTTTAGTAATTTAATTTAATGGTGTCAGAACTTGCAAATGCCACTTGGTACCCTACATAAGGGGGAGAAGAGAGATCCTCCAGCTTTTTTTCTCATGTGTCC